GTCACTCATGAAAGTTTCTCCGTAAGTAGTTCAGGTTACCGAAAACACTTGTTCGGAGCCAATTTTGCAGAGCCATACGCAATAACAGAAATGTAGGTTATTGTTAAGTAAGATTGGTTGACCTCAACTACTCGGCATTCTTAAAAGTTAAATTTTGCTATAATAATATCCTTTGACAGTTGGATTGGTTCAATTAACTGTTTCATTTAAAACACTTGCTCCACTCCCTGTCATTTGTCTTCAACTGCTTGCGTAGTCTTGTCTGCTCAAATGTCGGTAAACTAATTTCCCTAAATTTTTGGATATTTCAGCTAGGTTTTCTTAACTAATAACCCACATTTTCTATTTTAATGCCGGTGTTTGTTCAACTTAAATACCAAAACCAAAATCTGCGCTAAAAGAAATACAATCTTGCTTACACGAACCAAATTAAGTTAAAGGAATTGTTGTTATTCATAAAGGTCTCGGTTTCGAACAACAACGATTTTAACTTAGGTGATTGAATGTTCATTGTCAAATGATTTAGAGTATTTAAAACAAATATTATATAATAAGTATAGTTGTAAAGAAGTTTATATATCAATCTATTAATTGAGTTTGATTTTTAATTATTTTAATAAATATTATATAAAAGTTTGAAAAGAGAAAAAACACTCTTATAATAATATAACCATCATTAATAAAAAAAAGAGAAAATTATTATAAAATTATTTTAACAAATTGACGTCGAGTTAACTTGCTTAATGCCTTAACGTAACAATATTTTTTTAAAATAAGGATATTCAAAATAGCTCACATCAACTCAATTATAAAATTATTAAAATATCTTTATTTATTATGAACTTTACGTTATAAGTACGCTCCAACATTTTCGTTCAAATAAATACTCAGTCATTTCATTTTTTTAACAGAAGCGGTTAATATTATCAAAAAATAAAAATATCTAGAATTATAATAAAAATAATTATCGCCGAAAAATAAATATATAATTTGGACTCGATCAAAGACTCGAATAAAAATAAATAATAAAAAATTTTATTATATTTACAAACAAACCACAAAAGGGAATTAAACTATTGAAAGATCATCGAGAACCGCAAATCATAACAGAGCGTCGTGAAGAACTATTCACGAACGTAAAATCATACCTCCAAATTTAATCCGAAAGTCCATAGTAGGGAATATCAACAAGATTTTAAATAAGCGAAATCTTAATCAGTCGTGACATCGTCAAATCCAACATTGAGAAAACATCAATAAAAGAACAGTCAAACGAACGATAAAAAAAAAAGAAAAATGTGTCACAAAGACATAGATAAACGTGCCATAGAGGCAGAACTATTCTTATTAAAAAAACTAAAAAAGAACAAAGAGAAAAGAAAATCGACGGTCGACAAACAACATCAAAATTAATACCGCCGTCGGCTAATAAAATAAAAAAATAACATAATCTATAAAAAGCGACAAAAACTCAAAGTAAAAAAAAATCTCATATGTTGTACAAAAATATTTTTGCAAACATATTTTACATTTCCACCAATTATCATATGTTGAAATATTTTTTTGTGAATATATATATTTTTATTTAAAATATTTTTGTTCACCTTATGGATATGTTAAAATCTAGTATATATTTACTTTTTTGATAATTTTATGAAATAAAATTATAATTATGATTAAAAATATATTTATTCAGAGATAAACGTGCCATAGAGGCAGAACTATTCTTATTAAAAAAATTAAAAAAGAACAAAGAGAAAAGAAAATCGACGGTCGACAACCAACATCAAAATTAATACCGCCGTCGGCTAATAAAATAAAAAAATAACATAATCTATAAAAAGCGACAAAAACTCAAAGTAAAAAAAAATCTCATATGTTGTACAAAAATATTTTTGCAAACATATTTTACATTTCCACCAATTATCATATGTTGAAATATTTTTTTGTGAATATATATATTTTTATTTAAAATATTTTTGTTCACCTTATGGATATGTTAAAATCTAGTATATATTTACTTTTTTGATAATTTTATGAAATAAAATTATAATTATGATTAAAAATATATTTATTTAATTAGGATACATAAAATAATATATATACATATAAACTATTTAGTTTTGAACTAAGATCTCATATACCATTAACACTGTAACGTGTGACACATTACTGGGTCTCTAAATTTAGGGGCCCAACACTTTGAAAAATATGTTAATTCAAAAAAATATTGTATGCACGCGTAAAGAAAATTCAATAAAAAACTTAATTTTATATGTTTGGTTTTTTTATAATAAACAAACGTAATATGATAAATTTTAATATTTAATATTTTATCTTATTAAAAAATATTTTAATAATATCATTTTAAAAAATAGCACAAGCCGTTTATCCCATGATAATTTTGATAAAATGGATATGAAATTAGGTGAAAATCTGACCTTTGATTCTGGGTTTTGGAGTATATGTGTTTCCAGTTGACCTTTTTTACAAACGTCACTTATAAGTTAAAAAGCAGAACGTGAGAGAATTAAGTTGAAGTCATAATAACGGGGTTTAGTTCACCAACTTAACTATAACACACTCCACTACCCTGTCCTTAATGGAACATGACTCGTCTAATTCTTCTCTTTTACCTCTCATTTTAGCATGCCACATAGTTTGTAGTCTCTATCCATCTATGCCATTATAACATTTTCTAAACATTAGGTACCAAATAGCAAGACCTTACTTACATGTCACACACGAACTAAACACTAATCTTATTCGTATTTTGATCATTTTAAATTAGTCTCAATGACGGAAGTCACGTTTATTATGGCATTGCATGTCCCCCTTCATTTTGAGGCTTAATTATATTTTAGGTCCCTACAAATTTTGAAATTATAGTATCTTTAAATTTTCTAGTTCAATTATTTCTTGGAGTTGGAGAAAATAAATTTTCAGATTATATTTTCTTCGAATGTGATGAGCCGCAATCAATTCCTGGCATTAAGTAGTCCAAAAAGTTTCTCCAAAACTTCATAGTTTGACTTAGCAAGGTCTTGGAGTTTTGATTAGTTAAATGGTAGGCAGACTACATAAAAGTGTTCATAAATTGGGGTTTGATTGCGATAGATTCCTACTACCAAGCACACATCAGCCCCCTACAAATTTAAGAGAATTTTGGACGCCTTCTTGAATTTTTGTGTGGGGATAATTCTGATTTTATTACCCAAAGTTCAGATACAATCAATTAACCAATCAAACATCACAAAAAATTAAAGAACAGCTTATACAAAAAGATTGATTAAACCATACCCCCAAACATTACAAAACTTTAAGTTAGTACTATCAAATCTATTAATATTAGTACTCCTAAGTCGGATTCTAACAACGTCTTTAACTTCTTGAAATTTACCGTTTCATTTTATTATTATTTTTTTTATAAAATTCCATTTTATTCCTTATATTTTAATTTTGTTTTATTTATTTCCCGTTTCCACGTCAAGAATTCGTTAATGGTCTAACAACAGTTAACTTAGATCATATCTTAATAAAATAAAACTAAAGTGATCAAAAAATAATTTTCTATAATTCGATGAAAAAATATATAACATCAAACAAAAGTAACAAATCTTATAATTTACCCAATACTTTGTTATCTACAAATCTCTCTCTCCTTAACCTACATCGTTCAAATTTCAATGTCAAATATATTTAAAAATTTTCTGAAAATTACAGTTTTTTGAACGTTTTTGTATTGTGGTCTATTATAATATGTTTTCAAGGGTGAACATGCCATCCGATGCTAATTGAGACTGCTGCTAACTATATTTGAATGGGTGTAGAAATAAATTAAATAAACAAATAAATTCCAAGCTCCGAACTTTTCTTTTGTTTCACTAAAGGTAGAGTTTGACCTACAAAATCTAAATACTAACAAAAGTATCATCCCTTTTTATGTCCCTAATTTTGTCTTTATTGTTTTCTGTCTAATTGATCAATCAACCCTTACCGCCCTCCCATCCTGTAAAAACTAAAAAAACAGTGTATTGTATAATTTCTCTCTTAATATATATATATATATATATATATATATATATATATATATATATATATATATATTAAATTATTTCTTAAATTTATCCTTCAAATTAATTAAAATAAAAAATATGAGATGCAACATATTCCTATTAAATGATAATAATTTTAAGATAAAATGAGAAAAAAAATTACTGTGAAGGAAAAATAATGAATAAAAATACATATGTTTAATTTATTAAAATATTGATTTTATAATTAATAATTATAAAATTCCAACCACATAAAAATGACATTCCTGTATAATACCTAAAACACCCTCAACGACTCTTAATAGCTACCAACCGTTGGTGGGTTCGTTAACTTTTCTCTCCCCCTTTTGCAAGCGTTAGTTGCGGCAGAAATCTCGAGCGCTAAAAACCAACGGTCAGGATTTTTTTCACAATAACATATGCTGTCCCATAAGATTTTAATTCTCAAATTAATTAACTTGTTCTTCCTCATATTAAATTTTGTTTTAATAATTAATTATGTTTAATTATACTTTTTTATAATTGATGAATATTTCCCAGAAATAATTAATTAATTGTATCTATGAGTAACTTCATTAATTAAAGAGTGTGTTATTTTTCATTGAGATTTTAAATTCAAACAGTTGTATTTACAGGATGTACATGTTTTTCAATAATTAAAAATTTTATAAATATATATTACTATCGTAATTATCTCATATTATTAAAAAAAAATAATGATTAACTAATTTTAATAAAGTTTGAATATTTTTAAAATTTAAGGAAAAAAAAAGTGCGTATAAATAGCAGCGATTCTAAACCATTCTTCTCCTTGGAAACCACTCTCTATCTTAAATGACTTGGTTCAAAACATGAATATGTGTGCTTGTTAAGTATCCAAGAACCCCTTTCAGAGTTGATAAAAAAAACCTTTTCAGAGGAGATTGAATTGAAAATAGAAAGTTTTTGGCGACTTGAATAATGGCAATGGAAGGTACTTGAGGCTTCTTTTTTCATTTCAGGGCTGTAGTTTTCTCTCTGCTTATTCCTGTCGTTTTTTTCCCGACAGTTTTCATGTTCAAGTGAAATGGGTTTACTTTTATTTTGTTGGTGCAGAGACGATGGACTTAGATAAAAACCCGGAACTGGAGACGAGAAGTGAATCGATGAACGATCAACCATCGCCAAGATGTGTACTGGAGATACCTGTGGTGGGATCGGACTCCGATACCAGCAGCTGCAGCAGCAATTCTACTTCTTTTTCCCCAAAAACAAAAGTGAACCCAGATTCCTATGGTTTGCAGTGGAAGAATTTAATTGGAAATATTAAGAAGAAATCAGCCAGAAGTTTCTCTCTTATTCCTCTGCTGCCAAGTTATGATATTTCCAGGAAGAACTCAAGGAGGTCGAAGCTCACAAAACTCCATGCCTCTGAGGAACACGATGTCGGTATTGATCTCATGGCAGTGCCTAAACCATCACGGAAACATTTTACCTACTCGGAACTTGCTGCTGCTACTGACCATTTTTGTCCTGGTAAGCAACAGCTTTTTAATCTTAACTTTTTGTTTCAATTTCTGTCATGGTTATGAAATTGACAAATTGACTATTGACTCTGCAGGGAATTTGCTCGGGAAAGGGGGGCATGCAGAGGTGTACAAGGGGCAATTACCTGAAGGTCAAGTTGTAGCAGTGAAGAAGCTAATGAAGAATGAGAAACAAGAGGAGGATCGAGCGAATGATTTCTTATCGGAACTTGGGATTATTGCTCACATAGATCACCCGAATGCAGCTCGCTTAATCGGATTCAGCATCGATGGAGATTTGCACTTAGTCCTTCAGTATTCCCCTCATGGCAGCCTTTCTTCTGTTCTTTTCGGTATGAGTTGATCAAGGGAAAACAAAGAAAATAGTTGAACCAAAATGGTTGCACTTGTTTTGGTTTAGTCCGGTAATTATACTTTCGGGTCGACGATTTCATAACCACTCCACTAATGGGGGAAATAACCCGATCTGCAGGTTCACCTGAGCGCCTAGACTGGAAGACAAGATTTAAGGTAGCCATTGGAATAGCAGATGGATTGAGATATTTCCATCACGACTGTCAGAGGCGCATTATACACCGAGACATTAAAGCCTCGAACATTCTGCTCACCCAAGATTATGAAGCTCAGGTGCTTTAGATGCTCTGATATGTATATCTTTACATTGTAAATAGCTCAAGTTTATACTATTTGGTCGAAAAAACACTCAACTTCTCGTTGCAGATATCAGATTTTGGTTTGGCAAAGTGGCTCCCGGAAAATTGGCCTCACCTTGTTGTCCATCCCATTGAAGGAACATTCGGGTTAGGCACACAGTTCCTTTTCTTTCTGCAGTCAACTTGTTAGTAGCATTGGTGATTTCATAAAAGTCATAAATGTGAGGCAAATGTTTGCAGGTATTTAGCTCCGGAGTATTTTATGCACGGAATTGTTAATGAAAAGATCGATGTGTTCGCATTCGGAGTTCTGTTGCTGGAGATAATAACAGGTCGACGTGCAGTCGATTCAGCCAGACAAAGCCTTGTGATTTGGGTACATCTTCTGCACCCGAAGTCATTCAATTAGCAATAGCATTCGAACAACTTGTTTTCTGTTTCATTTACAGGCAAAACCGCTCCTGGAAAGAAACGAAGTAAGGGAACTGGTCGATCCTCGACTAGGAGACGATTACGATCCAAGTGAAATGAAACGTGCAATGTTAACAGCTTCCGTGTGCATTACTCACAATGCCAGCATGCGTCCAAACATGATAAGGGTACCAAACAGATTTAAATGCATCTCCTTTTGCTCCCTCTGTCTTGCCATAAAGTTCACGCCGGAAACGTTTCTATTTTCAGGTTGTCGAGTTGCTGAAGAACGAAGAAAGCCACCTAGAGTGCGACAGGAAATCTGGAGGTGGGAAAACAGTAATTGCAGACTGCTTTGATTTGCAAGATTATAGTAGAACCAGCTACCTGAATGACTTGAATCGCCATATGCAACTGGTTATGGAGTGAAAGATGTACTTGTTTGAAACATATATAGTATGGGTGGGTGTAAATGTAAACAGGCAGCATTGAAGATTGTTTCACAAAATTTGGCACTTAAGATCAAAAAGAAAATGCAGTAACAGCCATGAGAAAGAATTTTCAAACAAGTCTAAAGCTCCACTCCCACCTTTATTTTGTCAATGTCCCAAATTTTCTGAACAAAGAAAGTTACATTCTTTTTTAACTAACATCCTAAATATGAGTCATAAAACCCGTTTGATTGTTATTTATTATTTAATTTTTGAGCTTTGAAGAATTAGTGAACCTGCAGCAAATGGTCAAATGCAAAGGGGCAGCCAAGTTGAAAACTATGACTTTAGCCTGCTTTACATCTTTTTCTCTATCCATGCTTTTCACGCTTGTGCTTTCCTTTATGACCCTCCAATTATTATTTTTTTGTAATTAATTAATATTAATTAGGATAAAGTAAAAAATGGTCCCTCGACCATAGGATATTATTTTTTAAGTACTCCGACTATTAAAAGTTATAAAATGATTTTCTGACAATTCATATGTTCCAAACTCGTTCTTTTCTTTAAAAAAATTGGCAATCGTCTAAGCTGAACGTTAATTTGTTAATTACGATATGATAAAATCTGATCCAAGGACCGTTTGAACTATATTTTATAGATTGACTCTATGTTTACATTGTACCTTCAAGCCAGTGCTTGGAATATATGACATCGAACCAGTGTTTGAAAGCAACTACGGTGCTAGTAGAAATCATTAAAATATAATTTTATCACATCTCAATCAGCAGGTTAACGTCAAACTCATATGGTTATCAATTTTTTAACGAAAAATGACGAGTTTGGAATATATGAGTAATTAAGTGACTATTTTGTAACTTTTAATAGTTGATGAATTAAATTTAATAATTTATTATCATTAAGTAACCATTTTATAATTTTTAATAGTTTGAGGAGTCCATAAAATAACACCCGTAATTTGCCCTATTAATTATAAACGTAAATTTTGATCCAATTCAAAAACTCAATCTCGTAAACTTAATTTTAATCGTAAAATAGTTAGTGGAAGCACACATCACTTTATAATCAGCAATTCTATTAGAGAAAACTGTGCAATAAGCTGCTTTTAATTAAAGTTACATAGGGGGACAACGGGAGTTAGTGGAAGAAGAGTGTCCAATAAGTTGCTTTTAATTAAAGTTACAGATGCTTGATGAGGGGGGAAAGGACAAAGGAAGTAAGACTGTAAGTGGAAGAAGACTGTCCAATAAGTTACATTATTATTCCAATAAAATCTAAAAAAAGAAAAACCTGTCCAATAAGTGTCCAATAAAATCACATATAATATATCTGAACTTAAAAATTTTAAATTATAAAATCTGAGCATAAATAAGACAACCATATGAGAAGGTATCCCAACATGAAAATGCTCTTTATCGAGTTTCCCTTTCATAGTCCGTGAAAAAAAAACTAAAAGGGATTTTTATTTTTATTTTTAAAATATTTTATAATTTTAAAAAATTAAAGGAGTTTATAATTTTTTAAATTTTTAAATGATTATAAAATTATTGTTTAAAAGTATTAAAATAAAATTTTAATCACATTAAGAGAGAAAAAAATATTGATTATTGAATTAACATGTTACGTCATGTCTTAATTATAGTTAATGATATTGTTATTATTTTATAATTTTCTAAAAAATTTAATGATTATTTTATATTTTTAAAAATTTTAATAAGGGTAAACTACATATTTAGTATTTAAAGTATTGCTTTTATTCTATTTGGTACCTAACTTTATACTTTCTAAAATTATACCTAATATTTAGTTTATGTTTTAATTTGATACCCAGCCGTTAAAAAAATTAACATAACTGTTGAAAACGTGACATTTTTATTTTTGGGTAAATTACAAATTTCATCACTAAATTTTACTCTCTCTCCTATTTTGCTCACTAAACTTTAAAAAATTTCAATTTTCTCACTGAACTTAATACATTAGATTTTTTTGTCACTGAATTTTACTCTATCCTATTTTGGTCACTCTGTGATTAAGTAGTTAACAGTGTTAAAAATGACACCGTTTAAAAAAACACAATTTTCACCAAAATGATGTCATTTTGCATCTATATAACTGCTCATTTTAACGAAATTAACTATTTCATGGAGGAAATTAAAAAGATTTAAAGTACAATGAGTGAAATAAGAGACGGAGTAAAGTTTAGTTACTAAACTTGTAATTTACCCTTTATTTTTGTAATGATGATATAGCATTATCTTATGACGACACATCATCATCAGTGTTATGTCTTAATGGCAGGATACCGATATGAAACATAAACTATAAAAGTTAGGTATAGTTTTTAAGGAAATAAAATTTAGATACCAAAACAGAACAAAGAATTAGTTGAAGTACTAAACATGTATTTTACCCTTTTAATAATGAAAACAATTAGAGTATTTTAAGAAAATCTTAGTGACCCGTCCAAGTTTCCTGATCCAACTGTAGCCATCGAATCATTTTGACTTTGCCATTCCACGCCGTGTATAAAAAACTGAGGCTGAGCAAACACAAATGCCGATAATCTTCCCTCTTCCAATTCATTGTACCTTTGGGTCAAAGAAAATGGTGTCAGCGACCATTGATCTGTTGAAGAAGGAGCTTCCTGTTGAACAATCGTCTTTGGTTGTTTCTCAAGATTTTAAGACTGGTCTTGTTCTTGTTGATCTTGTCAATGGCTTCTGCACCGTTGGTGCCGGAAATCTGGTACCTTTTTAATTCCCATAAAATATATACAAAATTCATCATTTATGTTATCTCGTTAGGGATTCAGGGTTCGCTTCTTGTTCATACAGGCTCCAGTGGAACCTGATAAGCAAATATCTTGTATGGTCCAAGAATCCGTGAGACTAGCCAGGCTATTCTGTGAGAAAAAATGGCCTGTTTTTGCTTTCCTTGATACCCATCATCCTGATATTCCCGAGCCTCCATATCCTCCTCATTGCATCGCTGGAACTGATGAAGCTAGATTGGTTCCTGGTACTTTATATCACCACTGTTTACTCTGTTTGATCCTTTTTGTTTAGATGAATTCAGTGGCATCCATGTTTATGTATTATAGATCTCCAATGGCTTGAAAACGAGGCTAATGCAACGCTTAGATGCAAAGATTGCATTGATGGTTTCCTTGGTTCGGTTGAGAAAGATGGTTCCAATTTGTTTGTAGATTGGGTTAATAAGAATCAGATTAAAGCTGTATGTCTCTTACTTTGTTTCTCTTTGCTATATAACATTTTCTGTCTAATTCTCACATAACTTGTTTGGATTTGAAGATACTGGTTGTCGGCATATGTACAGACATATGTGTACTGGATTTTGTATGTTCAGCTCTGTCTGCTCGAAATCGCCGGATGCTTACCCCACTCGAGGATGTGATCGTCTACTCCGGTGCGTGTGCAACTTTCGATCTTCCAGTTCATGTCGCCAAAGATATCGATGGTGCTGTGGCTCATCCACAGGTACCTCAAAATCACTGATGCCCTTGTTTTTGGTTCAATTTTTATGTTCAAAACCAGTTTTTGCACCCAATGTCTTATTATATTGTGTTGCTTCTATAATCCTTATTAAAGTTTAACTATCCTTGTTCATTTGGATCAATGTTTTTAACTAACAGCTGATATTTTACTTCTGATTCAAACTACGTTTTGGTTCCTAGAAAGTAGTATCAATCACATAAAGAAATATAAATAAAATAAAGTAATAATAATAAAAAATGAACCTTGGCCTGCTCGTTTTCTTATTGATAGGAAATGTTTTTGAAAAAATTTCTGTGGCAGGATCTTATGCATCACATAGGTCTATACATTGCTAAGGGAAGGGGAGCCAGAATTGTATCAGAGGTCTCATTTGCTGTTGAAATAGAGACCTGTTCATAAGACATCTAAGACTGCTGCAAAAGCTTACTGTGCGTGAATTGAAGCTCTCTGCAATTATACTAGGCAAATAACAGCAATTTTATTAAAAATAGCTTTTCTTTCTAGGTTAAATATCTCCACTGAAACAAGAAAGTTCATATTGAAAGTAATACAGTTTTTCAGTCAAACAGTTGTGTGGTATAAGTCCAGGTATCTATGCTGTTTCGGCTTTTCGTATTTCTTGAAATTCCTTTGTTTGGCTCGTGTTCAATGCATATTCAGATATGGATATGAAGATATAATCCTCTAAGGACTCTCCAAATACATGGAAATCTAAGAAAAACGTAAACATATACCCCTATCTGATCTGAGTGCTTTTTTAGAATGGAGGATACAAATATATGTATTTTTCTACTATATTTGTAAGTACATACTATGAAATGAAACACCTACAACCAACAGAAAACATGATTTTAACTGTTCACGAAAAAATTAGAAAAGAAAAACTGCTGCATTCTGTGAGAGTATCACTAAAAGGAAGAAAGCAACTTTGAGAAAAGGGGAGGGGGTGACTTTATAGTATAACTTTACACAGGCAACCAATCCGTTTACCTATTTCTTGGTACTTCCTGATCTTGAACTACTGAACTTCCGATGCAGCGTAGGGTGTACGATGGAAAAAATAGATGTCTTTTCCTTCTTCAGTTTGGCACCAAATATAAATGACCTCAAAGGAACTCCAGACCAACTACGTGACTGTTGCATTCGGCTACCTTGATGGATCTTTGATCCAGAAAGTTCACAATCTTCATTCAACTTTGTCAGACTCCTCTCGATTTCAATCTGAAGTGCTGTAACACGATCAGAACCAGCTTGCAGTTCATCTGCAACTTTGTTATTCTCTTGTTTCATGTTCAAAATCTCACCCTGAAATTTCACTGCCTGGTAACTTGTGAAGCTGAAGTCGTCATCTTCAGCACTTGCTTTCAAAGCCTTTGTTATCTCTTCTTCAATTTCACACAAAGATGAAAACCGCTTCTTCAGTTCTTCCTTCAGTAAAACACTGCTTTCCACCCAGAGATTCAGTTCATTCTGTATTTCTGTAAGATGTTTGTATAATGGTCGCACGTCCGATACTAATGTACATTTTTTAGCGGTATTCTCTTCTTTCTTTAGTCTTTCTGCAAGTTTTGATGCTTCAGCCGCTAAGTCTGTCACACTAGTTTCATATTTCTGAATCTCATGAAATGCAGTGCTGAATCTAAACCAGAATTCCAAGTTCTCTTCTAGCAGTGCATCGATGTTCATCCTGAACTTTTCTTCAATTTCTGAAGTAGTTGGAGAATGGTTAACTAGCGTCGGTCCAACATTTTCAACCTCTGGTGGCAGTGTTGTTGAGATTTTAGTCACTACTGGTTTCTCAGAATCAGTACTGTTTTTTTCACCAATACTTGTTTGTAAATGGCTTAATTTCTGATGTAAGGATTGAATCTCTTCATCTTTCAAGGAATTAGTGCTCTTCAGTTCCTTTAGCTGCAACATAATCTCAAACACGATATTCTGGTTATTTGCCTCTACTTCCTCTAGCCTCTTTTTCGTGTCCTTGAATTTCCGAAGCATTGCGGTATATTCAGTCAATAGAGTCTTCTCTCTGTCTCCCATTCCTTTCGAGAACAACCGCGTCCAGTCTGGCTCATCCCCTTGCCCTATTTCCTGTTCTTTTGATTCAACTTGAGCTAGAGTAGCCACTGTCAGCAAAGGATCTTGCGCACCGACTTTGTCGTCTGCTATCAAGTCTTCACATTTCTCTGAAGGCTTACAAGTTTTAACAGAATCATGTTTTTTTGAGTCCTCTTGTAATTTCAGTTCCTCCCTTGCTTCTGATTCTTTTGGCAATGCCACTTTAGTCCCAGAGTCCTCTTTGGACGGTGAACCGGATACCACAAACCTTGCTTGTTTTGCAGACTGCAGATTTTTGAAGCCCAGACTTGCATCTGGATTCCTCCTCTCTTGTTCTTCAGACTCTACTGTGGATTTAACTTCAGCAGGAGAATTATCCCTTTCTGATGCATTGGCTACCACGAACTCCTGGCCTGCTTTCATCTCCTTCGGCATTGTGTTGTTATCCTCGCTCCTCTCTCTTTCATACTCCTCATCTGGCTTCATACTATGCACCTTCTCCGAAAGGTGATCAAGATTACAATGCGCTTCAGTAAAATGAGTTTGGAGATTGTTGTTGTGGTCTTCAAAATGCAGATTCAAATCCTGGATCCCATGAAACTTCTCCTCCATCTCCATTATCTTGTTCTTCAAATCATTTTTCCCATCAGCCAATGTGGTCTTATCCTCTTCCAAGGTCTGAATCTGGCATTGAAGCTCATTGTTCTCTGCTCTTAGTCTCTCGACAAGAGCCGTCTGCGATGAAATCGCGTTCTCTAAGCTGATGACCTTGTTCACTAGGTCATCAACCTTCTCCACCATTTCTGTTACAGTCAGAGATTCAGAAAGGCCAACCTCAAATTGCTCCTTTATCTTTTGTCTTAAGGACTCCACGTCCTTACTCTTTTGGGTAGCATCACTCACCTCTTTTTCTAATATTTTCGACTTTTCTGCTACTATTCCCGATTTATCTCCATCAGATGGTTCTACCTGACTACCTTCGTTTACGAGGAACTTGTTCTTGAGAGAATCCAGTTTCTCCCTAGCATCCTTGATCTTTTTCTGCTCCACTTCTGCTTCCAAGACCGATCTCTCCTGCTGCTCCTGCATCCGAGTCATTGCCCCTTTGCACGATTGTAAAGCTGTTGCTACCATCATGGTTCTAGCTTCATCGTCTTCAATGACCCTACCTTCACCAAATTCATCTACCAAACCATAAACTTTCTCTTGCAATTCTTTTATCTCATCATCTATTGCCCGGTACTTTGCTAGACCACTCTCATAAGAGCCCTTAACAAACTCTTTTTCAGTCTGCAATGCCAGGATTCGTTTCTGAAGGCTATGAATCTCCTCAAGTCCCTCAGCCTTGGTCAAACCGGATTTAGGAACTGCATGTGTAGCGGCTTTCGTCGGTCGCTTGGGTTCTGTTTTCCTTTTAGCTGATGATATCAAACCCTTCAAATCTTTTACAGGAAGGCCCTGGATCCCGGAGACATTGCCTTTAGATTTTGCTGGTGTTTTCCTTGAGAATGTGGGTGAAACATCTTCGTCTTCGTCATCCATTGCAAACTGTGCTCGCTCCGGACAAACGGAAGCAAGAGTGTTGTTTGCATTCTGTAGTTCGGTTGATATGTGGTCGTACCGTTCGGCTAAGGCGCGGTAAGCCCTGTAAAATTCTTCCACAAATTGAATCAATTCCGGCCTCTTTTTGTAATACATTTCTGCTCTCTTGGCAAAGGAATCTCCATCTTCTTCGATGACTTTAAGCACAGCCGTTACCTTTTCCTCCATATCTGCAATTCAAATTGTAATTTTCATAGATGGTACAGATGCTGGATTCATGATGAAACTCTGTTTACCTATCTACAATGTGTTATTTCCATCAAATTTCATAAATTTGAAACCCAATCAAATAAGAAAAGCAAAGATAAAAAAACCCAGAAATTATTAACAAAAAACTTACCTTGAAGGCTTTGTTCCATCCATTTTGATTGCTTAGTTCTGATATGGCCTGCCCACCACCATGAATAAGCGTTGCTGGCAGCTCTTTGCAACATTTTTTCCCCTTCAAATCCTTCAAACTTTCTAATTTCTTTGCATTTGTGAAAGAGGCACAAAAGCATGCAAGATAATTATAGAACAAGGAGAAGACATGGAAAGCATCAAGGAATAAGAGGAGAAACGAATTTGTTTAGTTTTGACAAATCATGAAAATCTAGAAAGAAACGAAATCCGGGTGTTTCTTTGGTTTTGTTAAGGGATCATGGAGAGGAGAGAACTTCGGCCGGATGTTTTGTTTATGGCAACAAATGAGGCGTCCTTTGTTCTTTCTTCTTCGTATTAAAATAAGCCATGAAAAAATGTCAGTGTTTGGCATTGTAACTTTAGCGTACAGTTCAAAAGTTTTACGTGGCAGTCTGCCCACTCTACCTTGCAAATTTCATTCAAAATCACACATTTATCATATGATATGAATAATTATACTAAATTAACATCTTTGTATCAAGAAATTTTATTTTTAATAAATTTTAAATTTAGTCTTAATCTTATTTAGAAATGAAAACTTAATTTTAAGAAAAGGAAGAGTAATGTTAGTAATGGATGTAGAATTTATAACCTAAAAACATAAAAGAAAATAAAAATAAATAACCAAATGATTAAATGTATTTATTCTTAAGAAATTTAAATAAAAAACTTATTAATAATTTTAATATTTATTTGAAATTTTATACTATAACATAAAGTTGCCTAATATAGTAATATGTATGTCGAACCACCGACTTGGAATCTCATTTTTAAAGACTGAACAGCTTTTTTCTTGACAAATTTTTAAAAAGTATCGTCGCCTGAGAGGTTCAAACTCTAGCGGGAAAATCCCATGTACTTAGCAGTCAACGCCTTAACCACTCGGCCAAAGCGACGCTTGTGGAGTGATGTTAAGAGAACACTAATGTATGTTGTTATCAGGTTGATGGGGGTACATTGGCTTTAGCGGATCTAAGTTTTTAACATCAACTATTTTTTTTTAACTTCTTTCAATATGGATCATCAACTAAGTTCAAATCAGTCGACCTCCCTAGCATGAAACCAGGACATGAAAAACTAGTTTCCGGCATACAACAAAAGGCTACAGCTTTGGGCAAAACCTTGACTTTGGACCCATATTTCATCAGATTGTCTCATGCATGTATCAATATTTGCTTCTGATTATCATAAAATGTCCCACCACACAATGTTCTCACTAAGAATGGAAATCAAATCTCAAACCTATTAGATTCTACCTCGGAAGGTTGACTATATGAAACAACTGAGCTAAATATCGGATTCGTGCTGCCTATTTACTATATCAATGGGAAAGGGTAGTTTGGCTTCCTTGATCATATCTTTCAAATAACCTATAGGGCTTGAGCCATGCAATCAGGAGCAGGATATGTATATATGGACTGTTTCGGTTTTCCTTTGCCCATGTCTGTTTTGATGTCCTTCAACCACTGCCTGGCGGAATTTTGACTAACTGATGTTTTTGTTGAGGGGTAGTGAGCCCACTAATCCCATGTTTGGCCTTATGATCCTCATGTTATCGAAAGTTCGACGTCCCACCAGTTAGCATCACTGCAACTGTCATCTATTACCAGCAGGCTCATA